TATATATATATACATATATATATATATATATACATATATATATATATATATAAATCTCTTTGCCATGTTTTTGTCAATTTGTGTGGACGTCAGTGACGTAGCAAGTAGCAACGGTGCCTTATCGCTTTGGGCTATTCTAACCGCATCATGTCCCTTGTTGAAAGCTGACGTGTCTTGTCTATTGATACGCCACGTGCGAGTTTGCCTTCGGGCTGTGTGCTCTGCAGCGGAAAGCGTTCTCACTGGGCCAGCCGATAAAGGATCGAGGGTGCAAGATGGCCCGCAAGGGCCAACAGAATTATGAGCCACTACATGTAGGAGCGTCCGCTGAGAAGCAGTTTTAGCATGCGGGAATCTCTGGGACCCATAACCCTTTTCACACAGAGCAAGCTTTGAGATTGAGGCTCCTGAAATGAAAAATGTTACTTAAAAAAAAAAAAAAAAGAGACCGATGGGGTTTGAATGCTGACGAAATGTATTGATTGAGAGCAAATGAAGGCCATAGAAGTAAGCAGTGGCCTGGAGAAGGAGATGAGCTCGCTCGAGTAACGTTTACCACTAATTTTTTTTTCTGGACTACATTGTTTTCTATTGTTTTGATTCATGGATAAGATAATAGCTGACGAATTATGAATGTCCGAAGAAAAAATTTTAAATATAATTTTAAACATGTAACAAGAAACTGAAAATTATAAATACGTTCAGCTTTGCATAGTGTCTACCGATAAATACCAAGCAAGTAATTTTACCTGGTGCATGCACTACCACATATTTGCTTTAACGCAACGCTTTAAAACTGTCGCATTAGCATCTAAACCGTTGCAATTGCACAAGCGCAGCGGTTAACAATCTGTCTTCATCAAATCCCTCCTGCAATGATGATGTTGTTGATGGGGATGAAGATGAGCTTGATGAAGAACCCAACGAATCCCATAATAACGAATCCGATCGTGGTCCGAAACGCCACTTTCGTGAACTCTGCGAGATCGAAACCAATCAAAATCAAAATTGTGTGTAATTTGGATGGATCTAGTGATGATGATGACGATGATCGAGCTTACCCTTGCGATCTGGCTTGTGGCATCTCTTGACGAGGCGAACGCTGTCCTTCGCGAAATCGCGGAGGGGATCAATGACGGATTCAATCGCGTCCATGGCGACAAGGGGAGGATCGGAGACTGAAACCCTAGATTCAAGACGAGAGAGAGGAAGTGAAGGAAATTTGAGGCTTTAGAAAAGAGGCGGACCTGAAGAAGCCTGAAAGAGCTAGAAGGATTTTGTTTAAGCGGTCAATGGGCTTTACAAACTTAACTGTTATTAAGCCCAGGAACAATTATTTGGTCTATGGCAACGTTTTTTAGTAAATGTTGTATTAGGCATTGCAAACCGTTACGATAGATATCTAACGCAACAGTTAAAACCGTTGCGCCTTAACCGCTGCAATAGATCAATTATGTGATAGTGATGATGCGTGTAGTTGTGATATTTAGTGTCATAAAATAACTTTAAGCACAAGTGGTGCTAGAACTAATTAGAATCCATATGCATCCCTGTCGTCTCCCCATGTTCAGTGTGGAAAACCCTTGTCGAGATGTAGCAATTAACAACGTGCTGACTAGACTACTATTTATGAAAGTGTAACTAGACTCGGAGAAAATGATAATATATCAGACTCTTCGTGCAGTGTATGCAAAGCTATACATCAATTTACCAGAGAAAATTATTAAGGCTAAATGTCAATCAAAATACCTTATAGTTTCACTCTATTAGCACTCATATACCCTCAGTTGTATACCCTTAGTTGATCAAAACTGGTGCATTTACACGCTATATTTTGCAAATGTGAAAATATTTATCCGAAAGTTTCCATATAACATTCATATGCTAATTTTATAACTTTATGGCTATTAAGTTTGTTGAATTCATTGTTAAATCTTTTCAAATCCAATATATATATATATATATAAGATTAATGTGTATCATTGTCATAGGAGGGGATTTCCTCCTTGACGCTTATATGGCACAATCCCCACTATCCTCATAAAGTAGGAGAGAGAGTATGAGTTGGTGGGGATTTGTGCCTACTTTATGAGGATGGTGGGGATTGTGCCAC